GTGTGTATATGTATGTGTGTGTGAGTAGGTGTGTGTCTGACTGTATACGTGTATGTGTGTGTGTCAGTGTGAGTGCATATGTGTGTGTGTGTGAGAGAGAGAGAGAGAACGAGTGAGTGTATCTCTGTGTGAGTTTGTGTGTGGGGGGTGGGGTGTGATGGGGGAGAGGGAAAGTGGACATCTGGAAGGAAACTAAGAAAAATTCCTTCATGCAAAGTGTGGAATTCTCCTCTGCACACAACAAAACGAAGCCCAATTAATTCATCATTTTGAGAGTCTGAGGGTTTCTGACTGGACACTTGTTTTTCTAATCCATTCATGGGATGTGAGGCATTGCTGAGGATTCAGTGGTCATCCCCGATTACCCAGGAGACAGCTGCCCACAGGACAGTAATGAGCCAGATTATTCCAGATTCTTTCTCTCCTCCTCACTGTATTTAAATTCCACCATCTGCCCTGCTGGGTAATGAACCCGCTCCCTCAGAACCTGAGCCTGCAGCTCTGGGTTCACTAATTCACTGACATTACCACCTCCGACCATATGTGGAGCCAAGCCATTGCGTGGACTTAGGTGCTCATGAGGTACCATGTCACCAAGTGACAGAACGGGCAGGAAAGCGATTGAATGGTCTCCTCTCATTCCCAGGGATCCTGTAGTAATGACACTGAGCAGCCTCACACCTTACCACAGGGGAGTGCGTCGGAGGGAGACCCCAAATGTTTCAAGGAGCAGGGAAGATCCAGAGTCTGGGGGAAACGGCAACATTTCAACGGTGGGTAAACACTATCGAGGTACTTCAGAACAGGGCATGCTGTCATTTTCAGCTTGGAAAGTGGTTTCTCCTTTGAGCACAGGTTTAAAGATTACAGGTTCATTAAAGTACCTAAGAGAGTGAGGTGTGTTATTGCTCTTTGTTTAACCTCCAAGTCAAAATGTTTTGCAACGCAAATTTTTTTTTGGATTAAGTGCAATGAATGAAGTATACTTTGAGACAAAATGTTTACATTGTTAGCGGGAGTGGTGTAGGTGATTGGTTTGTCTCCACCCTGCTGACCAGTGTGATCCCAGAGGCTCAAAAACATGTGTCTAAGTCTGGTGCTTTCTAGTCTTGCACATCTCTGCTCACTGCACCAATCCTGAGCAATCTAGTTCCGTCCCTAGCCAAGCCTCCCCACGACCGAAACCTACTCCTCGGTTTTTCTTACCTGAATTGCTCTCCCTGACTGGGTCCTACCTCATGGTCATTTTTTAAAAAATCCATTCATGGGATGAGGGTGTTGCTGGCCAGGCAGCATTTATTGCCCATCCCTAATTGCACCCCCAAGAGGGCAGTTAAGAGTCAACCATATTGCTGTGGGTCTGGAGTCACATGTAGGCCAGGTAAGGATGGCAGATTCCTTCCCTAATGGACATTAGTGAATCAGATGGGTTTTTCCAACAATTGACAATGGATTCATGGTCATCATTAGATTCTCATTTATTTATTGAATTCAAATTCCACCACCTGCTGTGGTAGGATTCGAACCCAGGTCCCCAGAACAGTATCTGGGTCTCTGGATTAATAGTCCAGTGATAATACCACTAGGCCATCGCCTCCCCTCAAACAAAGTTAATGCACAGCAATGTCCCTTTCGTGCATGGTGACCAACATTGACCCTTTGTCCTCCTCATGCTGCAAATTTGAACTTTTTGCCCTTGTTTCCAAAACCCTTCCTATCTCCTGCATCCCCCATATTCCTCCAATTCCAGTTTCTCGTGCACATTCATTTGACTCACCCTTGAGGGTCATGCCTCAGTCACTCTAGACTGAGGTCTGGCCAACCCTTCCTGAATTCTGCAGGCTTGTTCACAGTACCATTTGGCCCATTGAGTCTGCACTGACCCTCCGAAGAGCATCCCATCCACCCAATCCCTGTGAGCCCACATGTCCCATGGCTAACCCACCTAGCCTACACATCCCTGGACACTAGAAATGGCCAAGTCATCTAACCTGAACACCTTTGGACCGTGGGAGGAAACTGGAAGAAACCCACGCAGACACGGGGAGAATGTGCAAACTCCACACAGACAGTTACCCGAGGGTGGAATCGAACCCAGGTCCCTGGTGCTGTGAGGCAGCAATGCTAACCACTGAGCCTTCCACTTTCCCTGGTCCATCAGGTTTACTCTTGGATATCACTAACCCAAGACAGTTCTACAGTAGGATATACCGAAGGGTCTGAGGAAGGGCCACCGGACCCGAAATGTTAACTCTGATTTCTCTCCACAGATGCTGTCAGACCTGCTGAGCTTTTCCAGCAATTTCTGTTTTTGTTTCTGATTTACAGCATCCACAGTTCTTTCGGTTTTTATTTCGGATATAGCAAATGTTCTTTATTAAAGCAACAAATGCTACAAATAAAGAAAAACACTGTAAAATCTTACCCAGACAATGTTTACAATCACAATCCCCTTTTATTTATTAACTCATGGGATATGGGCATCGCTGGCCGGGCCCAGCGTTTATTGCCCATCCCTAATTGCCCCTTGAGAAGCTGGGGGTGAGCTGCCTTCTCGCGCCGTTGCAGTCTGCGCTATGCCGTGGGCCTGTGTAGGGGTCAGACTAGAACTGCTGTGCCCCATCCTCCAGGCATTGATCAGAGGACGCCTGTTCCTGAGCTAGCCAACTGTGCCCAGGGGCAAGCTCCCTTTCTACCCATTTCCAATACGAAGAAGCTGTGTGTTCAATCCATGACGCAGCCCAGCCTTCACCAGATGATCAGTTTAACTATTGGTTGACATCACGAACCTGTCACCTACCAGTTCTGGTCAATTAACTCATAAAGATGTGCTTATGTCTCCCTGGAAAGAAGCTTATCTCTGGAAGTTTGACCTCAGCTTTAGTTTGCTGACTACTTTTATGTCATCGAATCAATATTTACAATTCTACAACAACCACAAATTCACCCGATAAACAGTCCACATAATCACATCTGATTCACTGTGCCTGTTGTAAACAAGACTTCAGTTTCCCTGCAATGGGTTCAGTCCATCGGGATTGAGTTTGATGTAAACACAACACACATTCCTTCAGCAAAACACATTAAAAACCAGCAAACTTTCTAATCGCGAGGGCACCAAGGACTACAGGGAGAGGGCAGGAGAAACCAATCAGCCGTGATCGAATGGTGGGGCGGACTCAATGGGCCGAGTGGCCTAGTTCTGCTCCGGCATCTTAAGGTCTTATGACCAGACTTCATACATGATTCCTTCTCGTTCTAATTTATTTCCATTTAACTTCACTCCGGCAAGTTTTAACATCTGCACTCCATCCGCCTCAGCCCTCATTTATCACCTTCCCCAAAAAACCCTGCCTCGGTCATGGATGTCCTTCGGTTAACGTTGTCACCTCGTTTTGGAAGGATTATCTCATCGTGTTCCTGCAATTCCCCATGGAGCACTTTGCTGCGCTTCGAAAGGTGCTACATAAATGCAGTGGTTTGTTGCCGCAGTCTAACTGGCAACCCGGGTTTCCCAGATTTACGCCTCTGTTCGACGTTGGGTCTAGCTCAGCTGGTTCAAGTCACCGACTGGAGAGAGAGGGCACGGGGAGATCCCACAGAGTCACTGACCAGAGAGAGAGGGCACAGGGGGATCCCACAGAATCACTGACCAGAGAGAGAGGGCACAGGGGGATCCCACAGAGTCACTGACCAGAGAGAGAGGGCACAGGGGGATCCCACAGAGTCACTGAACACAGAGAGGGCACGGGGGTTCCCACAGAGTCACTGACCAGAGAGAGAGCTCGCACAGGGAGATCCCACAGAGTCACT